GTTGGACCGGATGATGGGTTTTTTTTTTTGTTTATATGGTGTATGCACACCCGGGTGTGAGGTCCGGGTATACATACATCATTATCCATATATATAATAGTAAATTTGTGCATCTATAAATTTGATTGCCTTAATTTAGATGCATTAAACTTTTGATATTTATCAGAGTTTCATTAATGACAATAGTAATCAAATTATCTCCATTCTTTCACTGTCACATTCCCTTATGTTCAAAATAATAATAATAATAATAATAATAATAATAATAATAAATCTGTAATTTGTGTTTTGGCACATAATCTTAACGTTCTATTTTAAAACAATGATAAATGATAATATAATATATTAATTACCTTGAATAGTATTAAATTTCAAAGATTTGAAAGAAATAATAACCAATAACACGTATTTTATTGAATGAACTGGGTTATTATCGCACTCTAAATAATTAATATTATCTTTTTAATATAATTATTTATTATATTTTTATATTATACCTTTTTAAAATCGAAGAGACGACAAAATGCTTTCTCGACATTATAAAAAAAATAACTGTCTTGTATTTTACTTTGACTCTTTCTTCCATGATCCCTTTTATACTCTTACTACAATCTGATTATATGTATATAATAGTAAATCTGTAATTTGTGTTTTGGCACGTGATCTTAACGTTCTATTTTAAAACAACAATAAATGATAATATAATATATTAATTACCTTAAATAGTATTAAATTTTAAAAATTTAAAAGAAATAATAATCAGAAACATACATTTTATTAAATGATGTGGGAGTTATTATAACATTTTAAATAATTAATGTTATATTACTTTAATATAATTATCTATTATACTCATATATTATATTTTTTCTAAAAATTGAAAGGTAGCAAAAAGCTTTCTTGCGATTATTAAAAAAAAAAAAACTTGTCTTGCATTTCACATTGACTCTTCCTTCCATGCTCCCTTTTATACTAATACTATAATCTGATTTTTTTTTATATATAAATAGTAGTAAATATGTAATCT